ATGGGGGGTACTCTATGATTTGACAAAAACTCTGTGGTTTTAATAGAGATGTAAAATTTCCGGAAATTTTGAAGCTCGGAAAACCCCCCGGGTTTTTTCCGTTTTTTGGGGGGGGAAACGGAAATTTTTGGAAAAATTGAAAAAAAAATGCTACATTAGCATTTCTTTTGTCTTTTCATTCTGTTACTTTAGGAACATAAAATATGACTATGGACATTTTTACTTGGCATGAAATTATCACAACTAGCGTATTAAAAATATAGTGTATCCAAACAATTATTACAAACAGGAATACCCATCCACATTGCAAAAACAAAACTGAAACTTTTTAATTTTCTTCTGACAATCGCACCTCCTAAAGGAAGAAATGCATCTTGTTCTTGCATTGGAGAGTTCAGTTTGTAACCTAGGACTTGCTTGTCCTCAGTGCACAGAAATTAGATCAATCTGAAATTATTTGGAAAATATTTGAACACCTTGTCTTAAAATATTTTATTCATCATGTTAAAATAAAACGTTCCATAATCATTTTTTTTCTTTTCTTTTTTCAATTCCCCCGAATTTTTCTGGTTTTTTCCCGGGGCCTTCACATCTCTAGGTTTTAACCATAGAGAGCTCTTTGCAAATCCTAGATTGTCTCCCCCAACATCAGGACATCACCTCTGGTTTTCACCAAGTGTTACATCATGATGCCGGCATGCCTGCCCCCTCCCCATCTTTCCAAGGGTTGCAGGCCGGAGCCTGGCAGTGCTACGAGTCGACCAAACCAGCTTGAAACTGCAGTTCAAAAATTAAAGAACAGCTTTCCTTCCTGACTCTCTTGGGGAAAAACTTCGAAGCTCAGTAGCTTCCCAGGAAATATCTGCTTTTTAAGCAACAGTTATCACTTCTAGATAGGCCAGTAGATTCTTACGGGAGAGGTAGAGTAATCGCTCTTCGGCAGAGATGCAAACTCTAACTCAGAGCGAATGTGGTTAGAATAGACAACAGATATAAAAACGTAAGGAGAGCCCTGCTGGATCGTACCAGTGGTCCATCTAGTCCAGCATCCTTTCTCACACAGTGGCCAACCAGTTCCTCTGGAGGGCCAACAGCAGGGCAGAGAAGCCGAATCACTCAGACACTTTGATTTGCTGTGGAGGTCACCTTTCCCTTTTTTCCAGGTGTCAAGGCCATTCAAGGATGGGGCGGCTGGTGTTCCTGAAGTGGAGGGGGCCCCTTCAAACCCCTGGCAGTGCCCGCTCTTCAGAGAAATCAAACAGGAAGGTGACAGAGACTCCTCCTCTCTGGGTAAGGGTTCCCTTGTTCCAACCATTACAACCATGTTGCTTTAACTGTAGTGGTTTATTCACAACAACGCTCGATGTTGTACAGAACAAAGTCTTTGGCTGAGTGCTGGCAGGGCCCAGCGGCCTACTGACTTATGAATTGGGAAGTCCCTTGTTTAAATCTTGCCGTCCTCTAACTTGAGTTTAGATGTGCTCAACCTTGGGGGGGGGGGGGTTTCCACCCACCTCCGGTCTGCCTTGTGAGGTAAACGGCACTTAATCTGGAGGAAGCCTTCAGACTTGAGCAGATGGGAAAGGTGGGGAATGAATGAATAAGTAAATAAATGCCGTTTGCTTAGTGGAGTGGTAAGATAGGGTTAGGAACCACCCCTCTAATCAGCTTTCCAAGCAGCCTTCAGCCAGCAGTTTGCTCTCAACCTCATGGGGTGGATCCACTCACGCACACACATCCCCAACTGCCTTGTGAGGAGAACAATACTGTGGTACTGTGTGTAATAGTTACTGCAGGGCAGCAGAACTGGAAACATTTGAAACACTTAAGATCGATGGCAAGGTTAATCTGTTTAACTATTTTGACCTGCCAGTTTAACCCATCACCCCTCCTCCTGTTGCTGCTATCATGTTACGGGGCTGAAAGTTTGCTTTATGGGGGGGAGGGTTGTGGGTGCCCCGGCATATTTGCGTACTGTTTTTATGGCTCCCATCTCTAGTTCCAGCTCCTGCCAACCTAGCAGTTTGAAAGCAAGAAATTGCAAGTAGATAAACAGGTACCACTTCGGTGGGAAGGTAACAGCGTTCCGTGCGCCTTGGTGTTTAGTCATGCCGGCCACATGACCACGGAAACGTCTTCGGACAGCGCTGGCTCTTCGGCTTTGAAACTGAGATGAGCACCGCAACCCTAGAGTCGGACTCAACTGGCTTTTGAGCCAGTTTACCTTTACCTTTACGGCTTTTTAAAGTGCTCCTTTATTATTTTATTACACTGCTTCCCTTGTGAGCTGTCTCAGGCAGATCTTTGGAGATAAGATCTATGCATTTGGTAAAATAACCAATGGTTCTTGCCTTTTTCCATTTTAATCTTCACAGCCATCCTGTGAGGTACTTTAGACTTGGGAGAAGAAAAAGAAGAAGAGTTAATTTTTATACCCCACTTTTCTCTACTTTTAGGAGTCTCAGAGCAGCTTACAATCACCTTCCCTTCCTCTTCCCACAACAGGCACCTTGTGAGGTAGGTGGGGCTGAGAGAGTTCTGAGAGAACTGAGACTGGCCTGAGGTCACCCAGCTAGCTGCATGTGGAGGAGGAGTGGGGAATCAAACCTCGTTCTCCAGATTAGAGTCTGCAGCTCTTAGCCACTACACCATGTTGGCTTGCACAAGTGACTTATTTTTATAACTGGAGGTGGATGTGAACCCAGCCTTCTCCACTCTCACACTTGGTGTGGTGTGGTGGTTAAGGGACTCGTATCTGGGAGACCTGGGTTCAAATCCCCACTTGTGCCATGGAAACTCGTTAGGTGACCTTGGGCCAGTCACATGCTCTCAGTCTAATTTACCTCATAGGGTTGTCGTGAGGATAAAATGGAGGAGAGGAGAGCGATGTTAGCTACTTTGGGTCCCCATTGAGGAGAGAGGTAGGGTGCAAAGAAATTAAATAAATTAAATCATACCATTACACCATCTCTTAATTTACAGTTTTAGCTAACTAATCAGTAAGGATAAATTTCAGTAGATTTCAAAAAAATCCCAGCGTAATGCAAATGTTGACCTTAACTCATCCCCACCCCCTGTAACTCCAGTTTCCTTTCTTTTCCCTGCTGATGACAGATCTTTCTGTTATCCCAGCCAATCAGCATTCATGATGTGGTTGCCGTGTAGCCAATCAGATGTGTTGCAAGGATGACTTCACTGAAGGCAAATGAAGCCCATTGAGGGCCGATCAGTATTGCCCTTACTTTCAATGGGCAGATGCTTCCATCCCACAGGCAATTGCTTTATGAAATCTACCCAGACTTTCAGCTCATCCGACATTTCTTAGCTTTTAAAAACAATATTTTGAGGGCTTCTTAAATGTGGTTTGCTTTTGATTTTAGGTCAGCCTTGTTCCTGGGTCTCGTTGAAGGTCCATCTCGTCTAGCCTCCTGTTTCTCACAGTGGCCAACCAAATGACTTTGAGAAGTCCCATGTGGGGAACAAAAGCAACAGCCCTTCCCTATTGGTTGCCACTTACCAATGGGTATTCAGAGGGTGTGGTCAGACGGCGTGCTAGGAGCGGTTTAAATTGCTCCGGCCCCGATGCATTTTTTTTTTACCTGGAGAATCGCGATCACATTCACCTCCTTGCTCCGGATTGCTGCGCAGCCACATCGCTCCCCGCCGTCCACTCGCGGGAGCCTGCATCGGTGTTGTTTCTCTCTCTCTCAGTTTGGGCATGCGCACAGGCAGCCATCTGTAGAACTAAAATTTTGCGTGTGTGCAGAACAGTGATTTCCACTGCAACCCGACTGCTGTAACACTTCCCTTTAAACTTTAAAGGAACACTTCCCTTTAAACGTTTACCACGAAAATGGCCTCAGTGAGATCCCGAACTCGTCTAAATGCTGAAACTAGGCACCGTTTAAACATTGTTTTTAATAATGCGATGGCGGACACACCGCCAACGCTTTTTTTAAAATGGCGGGCGAAAAGCGGAAGCCTCAGGCAGCTTTCGAGCAGGGAAACTGGAAGTGGTTCGACACCGCAGGAGCGATCAGACCTCAGAAAAGTGCGGCTGGAACCGGAGAATCCGGAAAACACCACTTGGGGACCTGGTATCAAAATACTCCGGGTTAAAGCGGTTTTGAGCCGAAAAGCGACAGCTGGGGATGGGAGGCAGATGTTGACTGTGTGATCGCGCAGATAAAATCTGTTTCTGAGGCAGGCCGAAAGCAGACTAAACGGCCCTTCTGACCGCACCCAGAGATACACTGCCCCATGACATGGAAGCATGTGGCTGGCCACTGTGGGAAACAGGAGGCTAGGACCTGCCCCCTTTCCACCTCCTTGTGGGGCAGTGAGAAACATGGAATCTGAAGTGTTACCGCCATCTGAGAATGTTCTTATCTATGGATTATTTATTTTTATTATTTATGAATTTTTATCATTATGTCAGTGTTTATCACCCTGAGCCGTGTGCATTCATGGGTAGGGCAGTCTATAAAATAAAATTATAAATATATATATTTTTAAAAAATACCTCACAAGGCGCCTGTTGTGGGGAGAGGAAGGGAATGCAGTTGTAAACCACTTTGAGACTCCTTAAGGTAGAGAAAAGTGGGGAATAAAATCTACTCTTCTTCATCTTGATGGACCTTTGGCTTGATTCGGTAGTGTTTTTTTTTAATATTGTTAAGATTCCCATTACGATTCTCCCTTTTATTCTAGTGAGAGATGGGCAGGAGCGGAATCAACCAGAAAAATTGCAGAAACTGGAACCACGGTGGCTGTTTTCAGGACGGGCTGGACACAGCATTCCTTGGCCCGATCGAGGAGACGTTTCTGCAAACCGAGAGGAAACGTACCCCGAGAAGAAGGGGGGAAAGTTCATTAATTCCCAGGGCAGGTACGTGGAACTTGAAGGCAATATGGTCCAGCTAACGATCCCCTCGGGAGAGGTGCAGAAGACGGGAAACGAGAGGGAGAAAGCGTGCGTTCACTGCGGGAAGGACTTCCAGCTGAAATGTAACCTTCAGGCCCACGAGAGGACCCACACGGGAGAGAAGCCATACAAGTGTTCGGTGTGCGGGAAGGGCTTCAGCACGAGAGCCTACCTGGTCACTCACGAGAGGATCCACACGGGCGAGAAGCCCTACCAGTGCTCTGACTGCGGGAAGAGCTTCTGCGACAACTCCAACCTGATCGTGCACAAGAGGACTCACACGGGGGAGAGGCCGTACAAATGCACCGACTGCGGGAAGAGCTTCCGGGAACGGCCAGTCCTCATCCGGCACCAAAGGATCCACACAGGTGAGAAGCCGTACAAGTGCAGGGACTGCGGGAAGAGCTTCAGCCAGAGCTCGGGCCTCCTGGTGCACGAGAGGACTCACACGCGAGAGAAACCGTACACGTGCACCGACTGCGGGAAGAGCTTTGGGGGCAACTCGAACCTGCGGGTGCACATGAGAATCCACACGGGAGAGAAGCCCTACAAATGCTCGGACTGCGGGAAGATCTTCAGTGACCGGTCGCTCCTGCTTAAACACCAGACCGATCACCAAGAAGGAAAGAGCTAAGCACAGAATGTGGAGCTGTCCAGATGGTAGGGTACTTCTGCACTATTTAGCAACCCGAGAACATCCAGGAACATGAAATTCAACCCCCGCCAAGTCAAGACCCACGCTGATGACCAGTTGGGTCCCCAAAAAGGACAAACTATTGCATGTAAGAATTTGATTGCTCCTTCACGCTTCCATTGGCATTTGGAGTGGGTGGGTAGGGATGTGTCTAGTACCATTCTAGGAATGTGTTTATCTATGCTTGCACAATGTAGGCTGTAGGATATAAAACTTTAGTCCATATATATATATTACCACTGGAGGAGAAGTTGGGTTGAGTTCAGCTTCGAAGAAGAAGAGAGAGACGAGATTGGAATAATACCCCGTCCTTCACTACCCGAAGGAGTCTCAGAGCAGCTTACAATCTCCTTTCCTTTTCCCTCCCCACAAGAGACACCCTGTGAGGTAGGTGGGGCTAAGAGAGCTCTTTTGGAAACTGCTTGTGAGAGATCAGCTCTGAAAGAACTTAAGGTCACACCGGCAGGAGTGGGGAATCAAACTCGGTTCTCCCAGATTAGAGTCTGCGCTCCTAACCAGACTGGCTCTCTTTGCTTAGTCTGTAGCAACTCTGCATATGGACAGCTTACTGCAGCCTTTGCTCTATATAATTATTGAGAGGCCCTAGCACAGTGGTTGGATTTTTGTCATCTCCCATCAGAAAGGATCTCGGGGTGCTGCGCTGTGACAGTGACCTTTGCCTGACACCCTTGGGAAATGTGCCTGCAGGCCAAAAAAGGTGCCCGTAGGCTCAAAAAGGTCGGGGACCCCTAGAATAGACAACATTGGGCCGGGTGTATCAGCAGCCTGACTCGATAGAAGGGTATTGTGATAGGTCCCCATCAGGATACTGTGTTCTGGGCAGGGGCTGCAGCCTATCCTTGTTGTTCAGTCGCACAGTCGAGTCCGACTCTTCGTGACCGCATGGACCAGCTCCCGCCAGGCCTTCCTGTCTTCCGCCGTCCTCTGAAGTTGGCTCAATTTCATGTTCGTTGCATCTATGACCTTGTCTAACCATCTCATCCTTTGGCATCCCCGTCTTCTTTGACCTTCAATCTTTCCCAAGGCCTATCCTTGGGAATCTCTAATTAACAGTTTGAAGGTAATTATGGCTGGGAAAGACCTGACACTACCTTGGAAAGTGGCTGATGAAGCAGACAGTACAGGCTGGATGAAGGAACAGGCTGATGCCTGGCGACACGTCCTTGGTGCAGAATAAACGTAAAGGCAGCCTATTTGAATAATTTGGGTAGTTCAGGTAGTTGACGAAAAGAGGCACTCAAAGGGGAGGTGACCTAGGAGTCACAGATAAGCCATTTTTTTCTAGTGGGATGTAATAACTATTAACATACAAAGCTATGGAGTCGAATCAACTCGTTCCAAAACATCTGTTCACACTTGGGAGAGGCTCTTCAGGATCTCAGATGGGAAGGGGGCCTCTTGCAGTCTTCCAAGAGCTTTTAAATAGGAGATGCATGGGGGAGGGGGATCAAACCTGGGAGCTTTGTACAGCTCCGTGACAGAGCACCGGCTTTACGTAAGGAAGTCCCAGGTTCGATCCCCATTGTGCGTCTCCTATTTTAAAGCTCTTGGAAGACTGCAAAAGGTGGGGGAACGCCCCGTCCAGGATGGCAGCCATCGGCCACTGTTAGGATTGCCAGACCACCTAGTGGAGGCAGGGGTCCCTCACCGCCATCCCCCGTGCCCCACTGCCGATCAGCTGGCCGGTGTGGGGTGGAATTACCTCAACAAAGAGGGAGGCCCAGCAGCTGCCCAGCTATTTGTCTGTGTCACTTCCTACGTGATGACGTCACTTGCAGGTTATGTTGGAAGTGACCTAGAGGAATCACTAGGTGTCTGCCGGGGGGCTCCTCCTGCTCCCGGTAAGTCCCCCCCATCCCCTTAGTTGCCAGGAAGGACCTGGCAACCTTACAGTAAGTATTTATGTGAGAGTAACTTAAACACCTTCTCAGTCTAACGAAAGGATTTTAATCTGACCAATTAATCATCTGATTATTGGAGCTGTAAAAAATACCACAGAAGTAAGGAGAAGCCGGAGGGGGAGCAAGTCCACAGAAGTCACTGTCCCACAAAAATAGTTTGCTAGTCCACTTGCCCTAATAATCCCTACGTTGTTCATTTGTGGCCTAAGATAATTCAGGAACGAACTTTTTCTACAGCTTCCTTGTCTGGTCTCCCGGAAAGGATTCCTGACTGGCCGTAGGCGAGTGGGCAAGAGGCTGTTTGCAAGCCTGTTAACAGCCAAAGCTGAAGATTTGGTGCCAGGTATTTAGGCGGAATTAGTTGTATGCTGCCACCCTAAAGAATCGCTGAGGCTTCTGTTATCGAGTCTGTAACAAGTAAGGTTGCCAACTCTGGGTTGGGAAATTCCTGTAGATTTGACGGTGGGGCCTGAGGAGGGGCAGGACTTTGGGGAGACATAATGCCATGCCGTCCCGTCTACAAATCCTCCATTTTCTTCAGGGGAACTGATATATCGAGTCTGGCGATCAGTTGTAATTCCACGACATCTCCAGGTACCACCAGGAGGTTGGCAGCCCTAATAACACAGTTCTTACTTCCTCTCTTGGAGTTAAAAATATGGATATACCCTGAATGTAATAATTTATCACAAAATACAAATCTGTATATACTAAAGAGTTATGATCTAGGGCTCATTCTCCCCCCCCCCCTGAGTTTTTTCAGCCGGTCTTCAAGGAATGGCTGTATAACGTCCGACTAACTTTGCTTCCAAGTAGCTATGCCATTGTAGTACTGAGGTAGGAGTGACAGTTGCAGGATACACACCTGATATTGTGCTGTTGTAATCGTTCACCCCTTGCTCGCTGGATAGAAAACTGTTCTTTTATCACCTTTTTAATTAATCCTGCCCTTTCTCCAAGTAGTTCAGGCTGGTGGATGCTATTCCTGCCTCCTGTATTTTATCCTTATAAAAACAACCCTGTGAGGTAGCGGTAAAAAAGAGCGAGAGTCCAGGAGCACCTTAAAGACTATCAAAACTTGTGGCAGGGGAGGAGTCACTGCTAATTTCTTCAGGTACAGCTAGAACGTGAGTCCAGATAGACTCAGATTCTAGCTGTATCTGAAGAAGTGAGCAGTGCCTCACGAAAGCTCCTCCCCACCACAAATCTTGGTAGTCTTTAAGGTGCTGCTGTACTCTTGCGCTTTTCTGCTGCTGCAGACAGACTAACACGGTGACCCATCATTCTTGACCTGTGAATAGGCTGGTGCTTAGATTCTCAGGGGCATGGGGGCCCATTGGGGTCAGGAATGTAGAGGAAGGGGGCTCGGTCCTCCCCAGGATAATTTCCCGCAGCTGCTATTTGCCCCATTGATGAAACTGGTCTCAGTCTGAGTCAGCCCCCAGCACCTGGGAAGCCTACGTATCGACTAGTTTAACCATAGAGTTTTGGCCAAATGCCAGAGTGTCCCCTGGCAACATACTGACATGACATCTGGGCACACGGGGATTGATGTGTGTCAAGATGCTGCCTACGTTCTCCTGTTTCCTGCCATTTTTTTCCACAGCCAGCTGGGGGGGGGGAGTGCCCAGTGCCCACTGGTGGTGGGGGATACCCTGCCCCAAGATGGGGAATGGCAACCCTGGGACTACCATTGCACATTTAGTTGACAGACCCAGCCAGTATATTATGTAGCTAGGCCCTTTAGTGGGAATTTGAGCCTGGATCCCTGATTCTAGTCCAGGATCCTCGCCATTATATGACACCAGTACTCCAAGGGAAGGATGGTTGCAACAGCGTAATATCCAAGGAGGTGTGCATCTAGTTTTACAGGATTATAGAATTTTTTTTCTAGGTGGCTTAACACCTGTATTAGATGTCCTTGGGGATTTCCCCTTCCTTTTTGTTGTTTAGAAAAATGTATTTATGGATATTCAAGACATACTGGATACAAATAAAACTTTTGTTTAAAGAAAACATTGAGTTTTGATGCTTTAAAAAAAATATCACAAGGATCCAATAATGTTAAGGGGTTAAGGAAGCCAATTTCCCCACCTCCCCCGTTTCTCTTTCTCCCTTCTTACTGGCTTCAATATTCTGTGCCACCTAGAGGTCGGTCCTTCCTTCCTTCCTTCCTTCCTTCCTTCCTTCCTTCCTTCCTTCCTTCCAAGAAACCCTATATCTCTGAAGAATCTCTTAAGTGACCCAAAACACCTTTCAAGGCTTTCGTCGACCCTGGGTTGCTCCCCTATTGAGCTGTGTTCAGCTATTGAGTTTACTGTTGTTAAGACAGATAATAGGTCAGAGCCACAGCAGCGGTGAGTTCCATAAGCTAACTGTACATCATGTTCCCTCTGGACTGGAGTCTTTTGCCAGTGGGAGGGAAGGTCTGTATCTGTTGCCTTGAGGCCAGATAGTCTTGGATGAGCCTTGGTGGCAATGGAAATAATTTTTATGTCGCTGGAAATCCACCATTGCCCCTGCAAGCCAAGAGTGATGGGAGCAAACTGAACTAACCCAACCAACTGAGGTTTTTTTGCAAGCAGGTGCCACACGGCGAATTTGCCGCTTGGAGTTCATGTGCTGGCAGCCCCCGCTTGCAAAAAAAAAAGCCATTTAAACGGAACCTTCCCTTTAAATGTTTTTTTGCAAGCAGGGGCTCCCCACAGATGAACTCCAAGTGGCGAACTTGGCGCTTTGGAATTCAGGCACACAGCACCCACATCCTGGGACTGGCGGCTGCCCCTTCCCCCTCTTGAGAGATTTAAAGGGCCCTCCAGCTGATTGACGGGCCACATGCTCCCGCAGATCATCGGGAGGGCCCTTTAAATCTTGCAGGTGGGGAGGGAGAGGGGCAGCTGCTGTCGACACTGTTGGAGGCAGGGCTTCCCCACCGGCCAACTAGCTGGCAGTGGGGAGGAGTCCGCAAAAGC